GACCTCAAAACAACCACTCTAAGCAGATTCGCTCCCCTTATGCACTTCTCTCCAGCTCCACTTCAGTTGAATCATTCTATTGTATTTTCTTCATGACACTTATCTGTGTCAGAAACCATCATTTTCCATTTTCAACCTCTTGTTTATTGTTAGCGTCACTGCTTGGAATATAAGCTCTGTCAGGGCAGAGATATGTTTGTAATCCTAGCACACGGAACAGTGTTAGGCGCATAGTAAGTTCAATAGATGTTTGAGAATAAATGATTGGGGAAAGAGCCTTAGGGTGAGACTGAAGATAAGAGAAAGGAAAAATAACAAAGTGAGAGCTTAAAGTTTAAAGAGAGGATGGGATCAAGAACATGGTAGAGAAAGTAACTTGGGGAACAACATAGGCACATACTGAGACAGGAAGAGATGAGGTTAGGATGGTGAAGATACAGGTACATTTCTTAAGTCGCTGGCGAGGAGGGGCGGAGGAATTCACACCTAGTGGCTCCTATTTTCCCAGGAAGCTTAGGCCTTTTTGTGATAGTGAGGTGGGTATGTTTGAATAGTGCTCTGAAGGAGAGGAGTAAAAATTTGGAGCAGCTGCAGGTGGAAAGGGAGCCAGCTGAGTATAAGCAAAATAATAAATCATGTGCCTACCCTTTGACTGTTTTGAAATGCATCTCCAATTAAAGTATTCCTCAGTGAGATAGTGGAAAGAACATTAGACTGGAAGTTGGTTGATTGCCCATGTACGTCTATCGAAGAGAGAGAAACAGAAGTGTAAGTTACAGGGTAGTTTTTGTGTTCGGAGATCTTAGGCTATTAAATGGATCATACCTATCATCTTGCAGTGATTTTAAGTGACCTATATTAGGGGGCTTTCATTACCAACATAAATGGGGAAGGTTTTATGAAGGATATATGGCTTGAGTTGGACCCTAAGGGAGAGGTCGAGTTTCTGTAAGTGAAGGTGAGGAAATTATTCTAGACTGAGATGAACCATGTGAGCCAGAGTTAGTGAAAGTTTTATGTTGGGGAGACAGTGAATAATTCTGCTTGGCTACAAAACAGTTTTCAGTGCTGGGAATTATAGAGGTAGAGGGACTTCAGTACCATTGTGGTGTTTTTGGTTTTTTCTTTTTTTAGTTTGAGCTTGTTTTATGGGTGGTGGGAGGTCTTTAAAGGTTTTGAGGGTAAAAGTGAAAGTGTGTTCCCCTTGATGTTTAGTACAGTGACTTGGAAAGAGGAGCTTTTCAGTAAATAACACAGTAAGCTTTTGAGTCAGACATGGGCTGAAGTCCCCAACTCTGCAATTTATTAGTTCAGTTACCTTGGATAGTATAATTCATCTGAGTCTTAGTTTTCTCCTTTGTAAAGTAGAGCTTCTGTTTTATAGAATTTTGGGTATTAAATGAGATAGTGGATATAAAGAACTTGGTCTGTAGTAGACACTCAGTGATGGTAGCTGTAGTTACTCATGGTATCTGTGTAATTCAGTGTTGAAGGGGTGTGAAGAA